GTGATGATTTATCCACATGACTCATTGGTGAGTGGCTGAGTGAATGGATGGGTACATGGATTAGTGACTTCGGGCTGTGTATTTCTGTGTGCGCGTTTTGTGCCTTATTTTGGGTGTGGTGGCACAACAGTAGTGATGACGTTAAAATTAGTTGGGTTTGCATGAGGAGTAGTGTATATGGAGTTTGCAGAGTGGTGGTCTCGTGATGTAGCGGTTAATACTTTGGACTTTGAGTCAAACGATCTTAGTTCGAGTTTCAGTGAGGCCTTCTCCGTCCGCTAGGGCCTTTAGGTATGCACTCATCAAGTGTGTGTCGATAATTTTCAATGGTCAGACTCAGATGATAAGATCACTGTAAAGTAGACACCGTCATGTTTCGTGAAGTCACGTCCACTTGATCCACACTGAAATCTAGTGCGCACGCATAACCATCAAGTGTTAACCTGATTTCACCTATCAGTTGACACCACTACATCACACATTCTACACTCATTCACACACAACCACATTATATTCATGTTGGTCAATTTTCTACACTGGAGAATAGGAAGGAATGCAATTTAGACTATTGAGGAGGACATCGTATTTGTGTTCTGTACACAGCTCCGCCTCGAATACGTCTGGAAGGATTAAAGTAAGATACGTAGTTCGCTTCAATAATATTTATGTTGTGCATTAATCCAGCATGTGAATACACCAAAACACATTGTAGTTATCAAGCTGCTTTACTTCTGTATTGATTGACCGATAGCTTACTCATATTAGTCATATCAAATTTCCGAAAGTTGTTAGGTGCAACAGTGTCAATGATTCTTTGTGTTTCCTTCATCCTTTTCAGATGTACTAACTGATTTCCTTCTTAAAATATTCGTAACTGATCAGAATTTGTGTTTGTGATAAATAATAAGCAGGTTAAGCTTACATACCTTGAAAGAGGTGGAGGAATCGTACTTATCAACAGCGAGGACTGCATCACTTCAATGCTAACTATCCTATCTGGCGATTCAAAATTTGTAAAACTAATCAATGGAAATGACTGAACGTAAATTAACAGACATTCTTTCGAAAACTGAACTGACATCAGAATGTTTAAATTCCTGAGACCATCTTGCTCGGATATACCTCGACTGTGTGGATTGTCGAGGGCACACAGGAATGTCAAACTTCATATGGTGAATTTGCGTTATCTTTGCATCTCGCAATGGTTGGTGAATCTGATGGCAACAATCAAAAGGCGAGTTTCATACCAATAACTCTTTCGAATTTGTCAATTTAATCGAGAAAATCAACATTTTAAATCAAATCATGCTGTCAGAGGATATGGTCTCACTCTTTACGAGAGTCTCATTAACTGAAACAATATTCATGATATGTGAATATATTGATTGAAGGAGATTTTACCCTGGGATACCTACTTACTCTCTAAAATAGCTCAAGTTGAAATGCACCCTAAATGTCCAATTCTCTTTCATTAAAGTAATATATAGAGAAAGTTATGATACACCTACTGATTTGCTACTAGTCCGGTTGCCTGCAGATTTCTTCAGTCCGAAACTGGAAAACTGATGCTTAAAGAAAATGATTGATGTCTTTGTGTTCTACAATAGATGCATGTATGATGCCTTTAATATCTCCAGTAATGAAGAGAATTCGGAAGATACTCTGAATGTTTTGCGACAGCTACCACCGTGCAATCCAGTTCACATAACAGAATGATTTCGTTATAAAGACAGCTTTCCTGGATGTTGAACTGACAAGAGACGAACAAGATGAAACACTGAAAAGATCAGTTCACAGAAAGTCAACATAGGACGAAAAGCTCACAAAATTCCACACTTTGGTGCTTTCACATACGAAACGATACCAGGTCTGGTCATGAAGCCAAAGAATCCACAATATTTACAGCACTGACTCTACGGAAAAAGAAGCAAACACTAAAATGGATTCTCACTGAAAGTGGTTACCTCGAATACTTCATCACAAAGTTCATAGAGCCCACACCACCAAACCTCACAAATATTCTGCCCACAAAACATCTCTTTTTGAATCTGAGATTCAACGAAATACTGATAACACAGCTTGAGAATGGAATCGCTGAAAGGAGTAACTGTTAACTGACTGCCTTTTCTCTTGTGAAAACGTAAGTAGAAATAACGTTCATATGTTTTGTGTTCAATGAAGAAAACAGTTTATTTGAAACAACTGCCTTCTCCGTGGAGAAGTCATTTCTTTATCGAAAACCTTAGTTCATCTATAACTGCTTGTACTTTCTTTTACACTTCCCTTTATTCCCCTAATCTCCGTTTTAGTTAGGAATCATCGTTCACAAGTAGTGTTTCAAAAATTCTGAACATATAACTGTCAGATGCATGGCAGTAATTTCGTGTTTCTATAGAAAGCGGAGCTAGAGCTTATTGTGATTTAATTTGTAATTTGAAGCTGTGATAATTTTGAAAAAAAAAGGTGTTCTGAAAGCCTTTCATTCTATGGAGTTGTTCCGAGATTTGAAACACATGAATCTCATAACTGGTCAGCATAGAATTATGAGGAAACAGAGAACTATTATACACCTATCAGATATTGTAATATCTAGTAAGTGGTAAATTTGGCTATGGTGTTTAAGGTGTCCAAATTTAGAAAAGTGACATACGTATGTATGTATATATACACATCACTGTGCGAGATAATAATTTTCAATTTCACTAGATGTAATTTGGATGTACAGTCTCGTTTGCTATCTGCTGGCAATTCACTTAACGTAAATGTTAGGAAATACATGATGATATCAGCAATGCTTTATGTATGGATGCATAGAGTGAAATAGTCACAGCGAGTATCATTAATTTTAAATAATCATAACCACAGAATACACTGACCATTGGATAATTGAGATAAATGTCCATGAGTGTCATAACACCAGTGTAAATTATTATGACATTAATTTAGCAAAATATTGACACATAGATGAGAAATTCACGGTGCTATTTAAAGCATTTCCGAGGTTTTCTGCACCTCATGTTTATTCATATCAGATAAGGCTGAGTATAATTATAGTTCAAAGGATAAAAATATCAGACATTTGTACTATGATAATTTGTGCTGCACATGAACCGTAGGATGGTTCAAAAGTCAACAAGAATGTCTAATGTAAACAATTCACAGCAAATCTAACAATAGCGACATGGAATTAACCCTCTTTGTTGACATTTTCAAAACACATTCTGAAGAGCTTACAATTAAGGTACAAAGTTGAGCAGTTTTGAAGAAGAGAGATACTGATGTTTACAGTTTTAACGATATATGCCTAATTCCATATTAGATAAGCTCATTTCAAATATTACACAGTGATACAATATTAATAACTGGATGACGTTTCGAGCACAAATTATTGATCAAAAACATATCAGTTTGTGTAATGCATGAAATAAACTTATCTAACTTGGAATCATATACTACCGCAAGGCTTATGTCGTACACTTACATTAATCTGTGTCTAAGACCAGACGACTAGTTATTCTCTTTTCGATTATTAAGCATAGACACACATCCAATTCATTTATAGTTTGCAAACATATATTGACGCCACTTGACATAGTTTCTTTAAAATCTCTGAAACTTTCGCTAAACATATCCGAAAGAAAATAGAGTAATCAGTCTCTACATTATACTCAACACATTCTACGAACAGCCTACGGGAAACATTTGTCATGGTGAGAATACAAGTTCACTGCAATGAGAAATAAATTACCCGAGGATAATATGGATGAAAGGTGGAGAAGATATAGAAAATAGTGGTCAAATGTTACGCGTGGTACACTAGGAAGACTTGTGATTGCCTATGCAGTAAATCAGTTCATCTCAGCGTGAACAAACAATTGTCGCGTCTAGTTGTAGTGGATGTGGCGAGTGAGGAATAATCAGTGGATTTGACGGTATAATTCACTGGTGTTGCAAAGGTTTAATGTTTGCATGTATGTACCTCTGTGCAAAGGCGTTTAAGCATCAAGTAGCAGATGTGTTGAATGTGTCTTCGTTATAGCTTATTCGCGTTTATTCATAATTCTGTGCGTCTGCGTGTGCGTGTGTTTATGTGTAATCGATTCGTGCTAGTTTTCTCACACATGCATAGCACTATAAATTAACATACATGAGTTAGTAAAGATATTTTATGCTAATCTGCGCGTATAGGAGAGAAGGAATCCTTGGAAAAAATGAATCTCTGCTTCAAATTCGTACAAATTCTTGAATACCCGATTGGACAATCCATGAAGAGGTAGTAGTTTACAGTCACTCATGGCGCTGTGTGGAAAACTTCCACTTTCTGATGATGTTTCGTGAGTAGGGTGTTGCTAGAAGATTTTAAGAAAATATCATACAATGTATGATGAAATAAGGTGACGGAGATTCACCCAAAGTTTGGTTTCAGTGCTCTGTGACACTTGGAGCGGATTATTATTTTGCTGTTATTTATCTAAGGATTTTGACCCTATTTTAAAGCAATGTATCTCGTATATGTGTGGTCTGCTGTCCGCTGTAATAACGTGGCCTACGCAGTAACTGACTACCGTTGACATAATTCTCTAGTTCCTATTATCATCAACTGAAAATAAAAGTAACACTCGCATGTCTACTTACACTTCCAATGAATATGAGCACACCACATTGATTCGAATTTTCTGTCAGTTATATCAAACCGATGGACATCATTCCACGTCCACCGACGCACTCTACTTCAGATAAGACTTCTGAATTCTCTGCACTACGTATTATTACTTGTATGAAATCACTTTCAAACAAATAAATATTTTGAGAAAAGTTTGCATTTTGCCATTTAATGAGAAATAATTTGTTTTTATAAAATGGTTTATTCGTAAATAACAAAACGCTTGAATCCTGCAATCCACGAATTAGCTTCACCTTCAGTCAAACACGCGACATATTTTTATAAGGAAACATTGACAAGTTAGCAATAAACAAGGCAGCTGTCATAGTGAATGTCATACTTGCAAAGAAAATGCTTCCACCTTGTGTGACTTTTGTTTTCTCGTCCCATATCAATTGCACAATTGTAAAGATGAACTGAAATGATGAACGATTCAAAGAGATTCAAAGTGGATTAGTGTACGTTTGAATAGTGAAAATAAATTAAACTAGTCAGTTACTGTAGTGTGTTATTCAACTGAGATAAATCACCTGTAAACTCACAATATTACTTTTCGTTATATCTGCTAAAGTTAATATTCTCGATGTCTAATTTAACACTCAGGTATAGCGCAACACGCTATCCTGCAGATGGGATTGTTGGAGAAATGGTGATGGTTGCGTTGTGCAATTAGTCAAGATAGTGATAGCATTACTAATAAAGCTTCTAGAGGTCTCCTCTACAGCATTAACAGACTTCACAGATAGATATGTTGCACAGCATAACTACTTTAGAATTATCATACTGTTATATGAAAGACATTTGACTGAGTTTAATTAGTGGTGACATGCGAATAATATACACTTCGTCGTCTAGATGGCTGAAGGCATTTGACAGTATATCCTAGACGACGTTTTCGTGCTTCCTTAAGCTAATGAAGGCGTCATATCTACAATCAGCTTATTGATCACTATCACAAAACAGCTGATACAATTCAGTTAGCACAAAAACTAATGATCAATCAGGTGCAGGTGGTCTTGGTAGTCCTGCTAAACAATCAATCTTCATATATTGCTCATATGCACTTATAAAGTGGAGCACAAGAATGCGTGTCATTTCCTTGTTGCTTCATTGAACAGATGATTTGTTGAGTCAGAAGGAAGAATCATTGGGGTAAAGTGTATGTTCACGTGCAGACTACTCGCATGGATTTAGATAAATGTTTTCAGAGTGGAGGAAGAAGAAGGATTTATGCCTAATTTCCTACACAATGTGTGGTCGAAATCATTCCTGTCTGCAGGATTAGGATGAAATATCCACTGAAGAAAAATGAGGCGTTTAAGGTGAATTACTGAATCCTGTCGATTCACTTCAATCGATTTCTTACTGATCCTTAGGACGTAGTATGCTGAAATGGCATCCGATCAATCAGTCCAGTACTGAACACTAAGACGATACTTGTGAATGCATCGTTTACTCATCTCTTATCGGGGAATGCAAACATTAGAATATTCTTCCTTATTTTGGAAACTTCAATCTGCAATTCATAAATGAGTATGTGTTTTTCGATCACTCAGTTATCACTTTTGCATCATCAAACGTTTTCCGTTATTCAAAGTAATAAAATCGACAGTGTGATCGCTGCTGATAGCACAAATCTCGGTCGTCATGTCATCTTATCGATAATTCATCTCGATTGTCTGTAATTCGATTTGAATTAAAGAACTCATTCGTTTTTCAGAGATGAAAATCCACGTAGTTCACATCCTTGCATGCGACTGGTTATCTGTACACATTATTAGGCGTTTATTGTGGCCTACTTGTACAGTCAATAAGACAGGTCAGTGAACTAATCAGATGGATGCTTTTGAGAATCGATGTTGTTTTCATCGACTGATAAGCACTTTTCTACCCTCTACTACAATTAGAATTTAAAACAGTGTGGATGAGTCAATGAGAATTATTAGTTGCATTAAGGTATTGATACTTACTACTGCAAGCAACAAGATTACACATGCAAACAACGGAGCAGTTATCTGTAAAGAGAAAAGCAAAGGCAACTGAATTAAAATCATGAAGCATGAATGAACCAGAGTCCATGGAGCATGAAAGAATGTGCAATAAGAATAATTGTTTGAAAGTATTCCTGAGTGACGCTTTCAGCAGAATATTGAAATACGTTTGCCTAGGGGTAAGGCAATTTTTGTGCAGAGTTTAAAATTCAGTGAACATGGCACGTCTAATATAACCATGATGTTCTTGACTGACATTCATCCAATAAACTAGATTACCTCGATTAATATTTCCTTTCCAGACATTAGAAATCCTCAGGAGGGATAAAAAAATTTGTAAAATTACACATACCTTCAAAGGAAATCGGAGTGCTGAGGAAATAATAAGAACGATACAAATTGCTCCCAGTATTCCCGAACAGATAAATAAGAATTTATAGTTCAGCAGTGTGAATGACTTCATATATATAGCTGCCAGAAATATCAAAACGGCGAACACTGTGGCCAATGCAAGTGAAGTTAGACACCATTTCACGTCAAAACACGTTGTCACCATGCCACAAAATACCGACATCAAAATATTCTGGAATGACAAGAGGATGTTAACAAAGTTAACACCAACTAAGCAACTGTTCAAAAAATAGATGACATATTCACCTTGGTTGCACAGCATAAGTGGAGGAAATACATAATGATCACTGGTCGACTAAATAAGGCATATTACCCGTGAATTTGTTGATATTGAGCACCAAATAAATTTTCTATCGATGATAGGGTGTTTTCCCAGTGACGTTACACAATCTCACGACAAATCATGGGAGTGAGAGATAGTGCAACAAATGTTAATTAAGCCGAATTTAATGAATTCATCAAGTTTCGGTAGGACTCTTAAACTGAATACTCCGCATAGTGTGGAATGCATATATATATATAATAATTATACCATCAGAAATGCATTCAGAAATATTATGCCTATCAATCCTATAGCTCCCAACTTATTTCTCATGGTATATATATATATATATACTGAATTGAATCCTGTTTCAACAATATCTGCCGCTTCTGCAGGAGTAGTATATATGCGGATGTGTAACTACTTAGTGAGTTGACATGCAACTACGTAGAAATTCAGGTTTGACATAAGTTGAAGGAGGTTTTTTGTCTATTATCCCATGCATTTGTAAAAACAATCTAACCTGTGTATATAATCTTCACCAGTGCTTTCCACACTATCGGAATCTAAATTCATTAATACTGCCAGTGTTAAAATCATAACAATCTTTAGCGTGGATGTTAAAGTCCTCGTTAACATTCTTGGACAATCTTTCACCTTTTCGACAGATGACCTGTCTTCTTCAGACGCAAAGTGTTATAATTCAAAGTCAAATTGCAAGGATTGCATCATCTTGATTTGTAGCCTCTTGGTAAGTGTTCTAAACGACACTGACTGTAACGTCAAATCTTCATTCAAATAGATAAGAAAGTAGAAATCTATGAAACGAGAACACCTTACCGTTATTACTGCAAACACAATGTTCACCACCAATGGGGTTTTCATTCTTAAAATGACAACCCAAGTAACATAGAGACAGGCTAACACCACACTAGAAAACCAATGTCAGATTGTACATTCACAAGTTACGTTAAACCCAGATAAGCCCATCTATATTTGCAAATCCCTTCTCCATTTGGTCTAAATGATGGTATATTTCTTTATTGAATAATAAACTTACACAAAAATGAAGATAAGAACGGTTATGAGCATTGCAATCCATTGCGAAATTGTGCACAGTATGAAAATGCTCTGTTTTCATTTAATCAATAAGTATTAGCAATTGTTTCACCTCACCTTTATATTCATGTTTGTCAGAGAATATCAGATGACAGTTTCCTAAACTATTCACAATAATTTTCTTCCGCCTTTCAATATGAAAATGTGCCTGATTTGACGAAGGTAAGGTATTTTCTTTTATCTACACGAACTCCTTCGCAGAAACAATTTTGATTAAAGCTGTTATTCGGTGTTACTCAAAGCATAAATTTTAATAACTGAGGTATAAATAAACAAGATGGTGAAACAGACAGTCAGTAATAATTACCAATCGTATGCTACTGTGGGAACGAGTGACCGGCAGCGAATCAAATAACTTGAATCAACTTTTGTAGTGTAGTTTTGCTAGTTGCAGTTATACTGCTTATGTATGTTGATCACTATTGATGTGTACTTGCGTTTTAGCTGAAATTTAACAGAAACAGGTGACTGTGCAGTCGTAAATGATGTAGAAATTTAATCGTGTGTGTCATTATGAGATAATGAACGGGTGTTGACTGACTTCTTTCTCACATACTTCTAATAACTTGAAGTTTCTGTTTATGAATAGGTGATGAAAAATCCTTCGTCGGGCGAAGGATACAATTTCGTCAAAGAAATTGACATCGCACTTATGCTGAGCTCACGTTTTCGTTGTCACATGTGGCGAAAATATTATTTTATCGAGAGCGTATTTCTTTTCTATAGTCGCTTATACTTTCCGATATACTTAAACCTATTCACCTACTCTCTATTTCACTAAGGAATTCCTGTTCGCAAGTAGTATTTAATTTTACCCACTATTTGTCAGATGGACAACCGTGATTGTGTGTTTCACTAGAAAACTGAGAATGAACCGATTAGGATTTTATTTGTGATCATTTTGAGTGGTGTTCAAACAGTCTGTATTTTTATTGACCTATTCCGAGAGCTGAAACACATGAGTCGTAGAGTGATCTGTGTAGAATGGTAAGGACAGAAATAACTGATAGTTAGATTTTTATTTGAATAATTTACTGATGTTGTGAGACTTCGGTTGCATAATAAGAATGAACTGTCTACCCAGTGGTTTAATTGACTTTCAAAGTATAATAAATGACAGTTGAAATTCACATAACATCGTGTAAACCGATAATTTCAATGTTTTATATATTCCAACTGAGGTGAAAAATCTCTTGTTATCTGTTTGAATTTCAATGGAAATTTCAGCGGAGAACAGTTCATGTAACACGTAAATATGAGGCAGTAGGTAGTAATATTCTCTGTGATTCATATACGATAGCACCGATTCTCAAAAATTCTCAATCCAACCACAATAAATTCACCATTCTGATCATCATACACTTCTGTATTCTTCATCATTCCAATCATTTTATCTTCCAAGTGGAATTATCGTGGTCCATGTAAATAAATGTACACCCAACAGACATCTTGTTCACCCATTTGAAATACACTGTAACAGACATACATGGAAGCTCCTGATTTGAAGTTATGTGTAGATCAGTGAAGGTTGAATAGATTCATGAAAATAAAACACGTAGATCAGCGAAGAGTCTCTTTTCGGCGAATTCATTTTCTTAGCTGTACAATCGCAAACATATATGTGTTATTTTTTGTATGTATGTGTACATTAGTTTGTCAAACAAAAATACAATTGGTTATAGTTATTTTAACTAAACAGGTGAAGATTGGCAATTGGAGTTACGTAATACAAAACCAGTCAAGAAAATTAGGTGTTAATGAAATTAGGGTAGTAACAAAGGTGATGAATTGTCAAAAACAGTTGTTAAAAAAAGTTATGTAATATTATGAATAGTTTGATGAGTGAGTTTTACCCAGAATGCACATAGGAACAAAGTAGATAATACGAAATTACGTAAGAGTTCTAAATGAATACAAGAATTATAAGTAATTAAAGAACAGGCAAAGAAACAAAATTAAGTCATCAAAATTAAAAAAATCAAATCAAATCAAAAAAGTTGTTACCAAGACAGTAGAAGTGGTTGAGTAATCCTCTTTTATATGCACAGCTCCGGTTTTTCTCTGTGAATGGCCAGAGCTTCAGCGATACAAAGAAGACGAAACCGTATTGCTTTTGATAGATTATTCTTGACTCTGTAGATTACTTTGAAGCAAGAGGCGTTTGTTGAAATGGAATGATCAGTGTTAACCAGGTGTTCAATTATCCCACTCCTTATTGCACCTCTATTGCCTTTTCGCAACCATGCTGGATAGTGTTCTTGAATCCTCTTGGACAGGGCGCGCGTCGAACGACCGATGTACCTGGCTCCACAGCAGCAGGTGAACTGATATGTGCACATAGAAGTGGTCAGATGCGGGATCTTGTCCTTGAGGCTTCTGCAGATCAGTGGGCGACTGGAGGACACTATTCTAAGCGTTGCTGCAAAGAATGTTCTTCTCAGAGATAATATGATCCTTCTCTTGAGAATATCGCTTGCTAAATCTCCCTTGAAATCCAAGTTCATGTTGAGTTTCTTTTAAGGAGCAATTAGAGTTTCGTTTCTCCGAATTCTTGGTTTGAATCTACCATTAAATGCCAGAATGGGGATAATGCATGATTGTATTCAACTGAAGACAAAATATCATGCACATTTTTACCTCATTAAACTTGAATATGTCAATAAGATGACTGTCATGTAGAACACACGAATTCAAACCCTTATGCTGCACTTAGTAACACAAATAAATCAAATCTACATTGAGTTTCCATCTGCGGATAGCCGTTGTTACGCGTCTAATTACTGGTTCTGTGGCTGACTGAATTCTAACAGCAATGTATACAGCGTGCTAAACAAACCGAATGGCTTTTTTCTCCTATTTGATGTTGGATATATATGGAGACAGTCAACTAGAATCATTGAACTGAAGATTGATGCTAGTGAGTACTGCTCAAGAAGACGTATCTGCAACCACGAAGATTTGATGACGCCCCCTGTGAGACTCGGACCCGAGTCATTCCATGTTTTGGTTTGAAATATCACCACTGAGCTTGTCATTCTTGCGATTGCTTTCCTGTGTGAGGGTGTAAAGTTTGTTTGAGAAATAACAACATCTAAATATAATGAATAACCTTATGTATTCAAGGAAGTGCACAGCTAACTAGGTGATGGAGAGGTATTTGTGAGTACATTTTCTCGATAACGTAAGACAATTTACTATGTTCCACACACAGTCATTTCTCATACACTCAGCTCCTCCTAATTACTCAAATTGTCAATGGATGCCAAATATAAGTATCCCTGAATACCTTGACAACTTTGTTTCAGTTCATCAGTATATTGTGATGGTGTTTTGGTGAAACATAAGAACAAATCAAAGAAAAGGCATGAATTTGGGACTGACATACAAATCTCTTTTGACTTCAGTGAATTCGAAACCTTTTCCAGTTTATTTTTTGATTACATCAGTAATAGGCTGATTCTTGTCAGCACCTTGTCAGAACACATTACGAAATTCTTAGTTTATTCTACAGCGACAAATATACTCTTCGTACAGGATCTATAACGAAACCAGTGGTTAATTGTGTATTGTGTAACCATGTATTGTTCCCTCTGAATTAAATCATTGTAGGAACATACGTTATTTGATTAAAGCAAGTACAACAGTTTTTACAGAATAATATGATACCAGCACTTATTTCGTTGGCTTCTCATCAACTTCTTGCAGCCTAACTAAATTATTATTAAGTTCATGCACAGAAAAGTTGGTGAGGAGTTCTATGATTCAATGAAGTGTTTCTTCAGTATCCAGTCCTCATTTCGCTTGATGAGGTCTTTTTCTGCTTACAGCAGAAGCTATAGGAATCAATCTGGGTAAGTGAGAACTGTTGATTCAAGAAAATTGTGTGCATCCTGAGTTTTGTCATTGCTATCCGTAGAACTCAATATACGTCACCTCTCGAAAACTATTGGCTCCCTCACCCATATGCTGTGTATAACTAAGGTGTTTCATGGGCTTATGCAGAAATCGGTGCTGGGATTCTTGACATCATTCAGAAATACACAGACCACTAGCCTTACATACAGAGAACCCGTGGCTTTTCGTGATCCGAGCGAAATAATGTTACACCTGCTTGGTCCTTGACTACCTTTCAATCACAAAAGTTGTCGAGAATTCTGGATAGCTAGTTGTCGTGTGGCCTCCTTCACACACTTCAAAATACCTATTGTTGGTCCCAGTAGACACATCAAATCCAACAGGCGTAAACTGTTGCATGGAACAGGATATCCAACTGTTTTTTCGTCGACTACTTGTCGCCAGTTTTCCTCAGTTAAATGCTTGAACAAGAAGACGTAAACTTCGTCAACTCAGAGGATACCGGCCCAAGCCTACCCTCTGTGACGTCTTCCACTGTTTCATTTGCAGCACAGGAGGCAATTTTATCACTATGCATTCCAAGGTACTCAGGGAGTTTAGGTGTGTTTATGAGCTGTGAACTGGTTCTCGATTTTGATAGCAAGTCTCAGCATAGATTCAGTATCAATATGTTCTATTTTGTAACACAAGAAATTCCATTTACAATGCGAGTTTGTTGAGCATTCAGTCCCTGGGGAGGAATGAGATGGTTCACTAAATCCAATATTGAAATTCGAGATACTTAAGGTGATAAACTGGTTATTACGACTTCACCCATTTGGAACGCCAAAAGCTGTTGAATATTTCCTAAATGACATTGTCTCTTAGCTACTCACTATAAAATTGCTAAAAGTCCAACGATGGGTATGTTAAGGACAGGCAAAACTATCTTACTATGTTAGTGTTATATTCGAATCTAATGATAATTCATACATCCTGAATATGAAGACATCTCATTCCTAATGCTCTACATATGGAATACTCTAAATTTTCGATGCAAAGGCAACTGGCTTCGGTGAAGTAAACGTGACACAAACTTATCAGAAAGATGTTCACTGAATGT